GTCAGTTCCCTTTTCATTTTGATGATCGTTGTTTAGCTATGCAGAAGCTTATTATTTTGATGTAGTCTTATTTATTTTTTCCTTTATTTCCCTTGACCTGGGAGATATACTGGCAAAAAATTATTGCTATGTGGGATATCTGAAATTTTCCTACCTGTGTTTTCCTCTAGGACTTTTATAGTGCTACAAATTATATTTAAGTCTTTTATCAATTTTGAGTTTATTCTGGTGTACAGTGTAAGTTGGTCTAGTTTCTTCTTTCTTTTTTTCTTTCTTTTTCTTTCCCATGTACCTGTCTGGTTCTCCCAACACCATTTATTGAATAGATTATTTTTCCCCATTGCATGTCCCTATCCCCTTCATCAAATATTAATTGGCCATAGAGAAATGGGTTTATTTTCTGTACTCTCTATTCTGTTCCATTGATCTACATGTCTGTTCTTATGCCAGCACTAGACTGCTTTCATTGCAGTGGCCTTGTAGCATGGTTTGATATTGGGTATTGTGATCCCTCCTACTTTGTTCTTCTTTCTCAGGATTGCTGAGAATATTTGGTGTATTTTTTAGTACCATATACATTTTTGAAATATTTGTTCTAGATCTGTGAAATACACCCTTGAGATTTTAATAGTAATTGTGATGAATCTATAGATTGCTTTGGATAGCATGGACATTTTAGTGATGTTAATTCTTGCAGTCCATGGATATAGTATATGCTTCCATTTATTTGTGTCCTGCTTAATTTCTTGCTTCTGTGTTCTACATCACAGTATCTTTATAAATGTATTTATATATAGCGAAGTTACAGAAGTTGAATCAGAATGATACACATAAAATTCAGGATAGAAGATACTCTTGTGAAGATCCTAAGGAAAATAAATTGGGGAGAGTGCTTTAATAGTATTGAAATGCTAAATAACCTAAGTAATAGTATACAGGTGTATATTGCTTTAGTCCTTAAATATTTTGCATGTACTTAATGTTTTATAACAATGTATTCTCACTGTATATATTAAATTTATTTTACCACCGTAATTGTTCTTTTTTTAGTGGGATTTTATTTAATGTCTTAAAATATTTTACCAGACCCACATATTACAATACAGCTTTTAAGAACATAGTCTATTATATTCCTTTATCTGTATATTGATTATGTGTATATTAATGTTGTTAAAAGTACAATAGTTTTTTTTCTTTTCATGTTGAGTGTTACTGTTTTACTGATCTTGTCATCAAAGAATCTTTAAACATATCCATGTGCATTGAAGTGGCTTACTGTCACTATTTTTTGTAGTTCATTCTGAGTACATGTGAGAAGTCAAAATAAATTAGAACAAATGCTGACCTTGAGTACTAAAATAGTTATGCTGAGTGGCGTGTCTCCTGGGAATGGCCAGGGGTTATCCTTGAAAAGGCCTCTCATTATGGTGCTCATGAATTTACGTTGGTTCAGGATCTAACCCTCATATTTGCAGGGTCAGAAAACTGATTCTATAATTAATCCCTGAATAGACTCACATCTCACTTATGAAATAACTTAATCAAGCTTTTAGAATTGACCTATGATGCTGGAACAACAATTTACTTATTCAAAACAAAAAATAACTCCTAAAAAGATGAGGATCTTTGACTCAGTATTAGCAGTTTATTCTTTCCCTGTAGCCAAACCTTGGGGAAAGCAATAGCATTAACAGAAGATTGTTTAAGAACATTTTATGAGGACAGCATAGTTAGATGAATCTCATTTATTGGTATCATGATAACAAATTAATATGTTTATCCACAATATTAATAATTACCACTTTGCTAATGACATATGAATACTTGAAACCTATTGACTAAGATTCTACTCTCCCTGACAAGGGATGAGATTGGCAACAGCCAATGTTTGCCTCTGTGGCTCTCCTTTTTCTATATTTCCATGATGGACACTTCATACTTTTGACTGACAGATTGTTTTTTGAAGTAGAATAATGTAGTCAAATTACAGCTAAGTCTTTGAAACCTGGGACCTTGCCAGCCTCTGAGGTAACTTTGTATAAATCTGCTTTGTTACAATGTGTTGATTTTCAGAGGTAACTCTCTCAGGGCATCTGATATCCTTTGTTTCTTATTTGCATCTGATGTCTGTCTTCAAAATAATAGTTATCACTTCCAGTTTTGTGTTGTCTGCAATTTTAATCATCCAAGCCATTGATAAAAATATAAAATGGAGCAAGGGCAAAAACTGCTCTTGCATGCTACTAGAATTTGTTTATCTCTTGACAGAGTTTTCAGTAATTATAGCTCTTCCTGAAAAATGATCAGTCATTGACAGCTCTGCCCAAATGCTCTGCCTTGCAACAAAATGACTTCTTGTTCCCAAGGACATCATGTGTAACCTTGAAAATGCCTTTCTAAAATCCAGAGATACTCATCTAATAAACTACCCGAACTAATAACTCAGTAAATTTTCACTAAAATGTAGCTGGTTAGTACTTTTTAAATTTTAACAGCATAACATTTATTTTTTGAAACTTTATAGCATGTCTTTTTTCATAGTTGTTAACATAGTAAGATCCACATCTTTGCAAAGGGCTCCTTGCTTGTGCAAGCAGAAGACTTGGGTTTTTAATCCTGCTACTAAATCTGAGGTACATCCATTCCATCCATGTCTACTGCCTACATGTCACCATACACTCTGTTTTCAGGGGGAAAAAATCTAACAGATGTTATGAACTGAATTGCATCCCCCAAAATTAATAGGCTGAAGCTCTAACACCAAGAAGACTGTATTTGGTGAAAGGGCATTTAAGGAGGTAATGAAGGTCCTAAGAGATAATAAAAGCAGGGTTGTAACCTTAATGCATCAGTTCTGGTGTCATTAGAAGAGGAAGAGAAACTAGGAGAGCTTACACACACACAGAGAACAGGCCATGCGCAGAGGAGGCAAGAAGGCAACCACCTGCAAGCTAAGGAGAGCAGACTCTCCAGAGAAACCCAAACTGCCTGCACCTGCTCAAAGCCTACAGATGTGGGGAAATAAGTTGTGTTCTGTAAGCCATCCAGTCTGCAGTCTTTTTTTTAGGGCAGCACAAGCTGACTAATATGATAAGAATCTATGTTTGGACTAACATGTATAAAGCCATTACCTGTAATAATCGCATCTTTGAAAATTGCTTATCTCCCATTAATTCAGGATTTTGGCTCCCCACAGATTGCTTGTATAAGTATACTTTTATATATTTCTATGTAGTATATCATGATTTCTATTTTTGGTAAAGACTGATTAAATATATTACATCAGTGTGTTCTTGGAATGCACACAATTTTTAGATAGATGTCTTATTTGTTCTTCATAAAAAAAGTCTTTGCTGGCATATAATCAGTTTTTATTCAAAAATACTTTAAATTTAGACTTTTTTCACTATTATTCAAGCAAAAATAATTTTCCTCTCTATTAAATTGTGACATTAGTTTGTGGTTCTTTTAATCATGACATCCATGAATATAATCATTGGAATATATTTATTTATTTTTCTTACCTTTCTCCCTTCATTACAAATTCCTTGAGCACAGAGAGTTGGTGTTACTCCTTTTCTTTTCTTTTCAATGTTTATCACATTTCTGTTAAACTAATAAAGATGAATATTGTGTTAAATTTAACAAACATTATTTTAACATATTTGGAATATTCTCTTTTTATCATGCCATGTCATTATTTAATATTTTCTAATTTTCAACAAGACATGTTTTCTGAACTGTCTGCATTCTGAAGAATGCATAGCAGTGGTAGAGGTTGAAAGGATTTTCTATGGGAAGAATTTCTTTTGTGAATGAAATGAGTATAGAGGATTGAAGTAAAAGGTGATTCAAGTACTGTCACGTAAGTCAGTAAAGGGAATAAGTGTGGCAGGAAAATGTTTTGAAATATTAATCACAGTTCTCCTCTGCAGTTTCTCATAACATGTGTCGTCCCACATTTACTCATGTTTGTCTTTAGGATTTTTTTATTGTTTTCTTCATTCTAATTTTTGGGGGGTCAGCTTGTTCTATTTCTGACATCTTGACTAAATTAGTTCTCATTAAACTTGTATTCAAGGGTTATAGCCTGTGAGTCCAAATGTGAGATGTTAGTAGAAGTAGGTATAGACACCTGGAGATGCCAGAACAGGAAGGAAGCAGAAGACCGAAGGCATTAAATCAGAATGAGCTGGACCCGTTTTCAATGCCAGTGTCAAAACAACACAAAGATTCATCAGTGTGGTGGAGAAAAGGTAGGGTTTATTCCTTTTGACTGACTAAATTAAAAAAAAAATATTGAATAAATTATGGTAGCAATAGTAGATTTTCTATTATTAAGAGTAGGTACTTAGCAATTAATTACAAAAGGAAAGAGCAGTGACCATCTTTATTTCTACCTGGACCAGGTGGCCCACATCCTGTCAGCCAGATCACTGACATCAGTGCTGCAGAGCACCCTTTGCCAGATCAGAGGGTGATAGTCTGGTTAGAGGACCCTGGCTGTGGTGAGAACCGCCAGCATCACTAAAAATGGAAAACATCTCATTTTCCTCTACTATGTGGCTATTCAAATGGGCACTGCAGTGATACAAGTGAGACAAATTTTAAAAAGTTAAGCCAAAACCCCAGAGATTTTCATCATTCTAACAAGCTTCCTTTCCTAGGATTTCTTTATTCCTTATACTGGTTATTTTTGTATGCATATGATTAAAAAATTATGATGACAGCTAGATAAAATTATGTGTGTTTCCCTAACAAATGGGAAAACAAAATACTTCACATGATATGACATGATATTAGAGACATAATATTTTTGAAAACTTGGTGACTGAAGAAAGTTCCTCTAACAGTGAGTGAGAAGGATTAGTTAAAAAAAAAAAAAAGCCACGGGAGTTTTAGACACAGTGAGAGGAGTAATGGAATTTCAGTTATCAAAATAGATTTAACTGAAGTATTTCCAAATAATGATGGTTAAATTAATATGGAAGTGCCAGTTCTCAGGTGATACTAAAACATCTAATTATCCAGTTTGGAAACATCAGACAGGAAATGTCCTGTCCATCCATGTATTGCTTCACATCTCGGAAAAGGCAGTACATTAGGGGCGGGGGAGGTCCACATTGTGGAAGAGTGGAAATGCCAGTCTCTGACATAAAGATGACGATTTTATACAAATAGGCAAACTGCTCAAATAAGGCCCTGATGCCTGGACGCTTCTTAAACTTCCAGCCAGTGACCAGCGACTACTCCGGATGCAGCAGGGCGCTGGTGAGCTCCAAGACAGGTGTGTAGGGAGGCTGGTAGTATGGCTCCCACAGAGGGTCTGGGAAAGGCAGGGGCTGGGACCAGGGGTCAGTGAACATCTGTCTATAATCTCTGGAATGTTTGCATGTCTGGCAAAGCTGCTGCATCAAAATTGGATCACTGTCGTATTCAACAGGAATCTTGGCCCCATTTTCATCCACAGAGTTGCTTCTGAAGATGGAGTCAGCACTCGCAGTCCTGGTAGCCCCAAGCAGCCCAGCAAGCCAGAGCATGATTTATGTATGTATGTATGTATGTATGTATGTATGTACATTTATATTGTTAATGCAATTACAGTTGTCCTAATTTCCCCTCCTTTGCCCCCACTCCACTTGCCCACCCCACACATCCATAGTCATTCCTCACCCCGTTGTCTAAGTCCATAGGCCCTTCACACATTCTTTGATTAATCCCTTCACCTTCTTTCAAACAGTCCCCAAATCCTTCCTTCCCTCTTAGAATCTATTCCATGATTCTATGTCCCTGCTTCTGTTTTGCTCATTAGTTTATATTGTTCATTAGATTTCTCTTATGAGATCATCTCATAATTGTCTTTCACTAACTGGTTTATTTCACTTAGCACAGTAGTCTCCAGTTCTACCCATACCGTCACAAAAGTAGGGATTCTTTCTTTTTTCTGCTGCATAGCATTATATTTTATAAATACATCATAGTTTTTAAATCCACTCATCTACTGATGGGAACTTAGGCCATTTCCAGATATTAACTATTGGAAATAACACTGCTGTGAACATAGGGGTGCATAAATTCTTTTGAATTGGTGTTTCAGGATTCTTAGGGTATATTACAAGCAGTGGAATCCTTGGGTCAAAAGGCAGTTTCATTTATAAATTTTTTAGGAAACTTCATACTAATTTCCACAGTGGCTGCACCAGTCTGCATTTCCACTAACAGTGCATTTGGGTTCCCTTTTCTCCACATCCTCACCAGCAAGTGTTATTTGTTAATTTATTAATTATACCCATTCTGGCAGGTGTGAGGTGATACGTCATTGAGGTTTTAATTTGCATATCTCTTATTGTTAGTGATGTTGAGAATTTTTTCATATGTCTATGGGCCATCTGCATGTCCTCCTTGGAGAAGTGTCTATTCAAGGTCTTTGCCATTTTTTTAATTGGACTGTTTGTCTTCCTGCTGTTGAGTTGTATGAGTTCTTTGTATATTGGGTTGGTCAAAATGTCTGTATGTTTTTTTCCATAAAATAAAACACACATTTTATTTTCACCAATAACTTTATGGATAGGGATATTTTGAGTATGTCGACTATCTTCTGTGTGGTATAATGTTAATTGTTCTAAATTAATGTCTCAATTTGACCTCTATCAACTTCACTTGATCCACCCAACCATGGAGCGTCATCCAGCAAGAAATCTCCAGTATGAAATTTTGCAAACCACTTTTGACATGTTCAATCAGTCACAGTGCCTTCTACATGCATTGCACAAATATATTTGTGTGTGTTTCAGTTGTGTTTTTATTTTTCTTGAAATTAAAAAAAAACATACTATACCAAAAATGTTAGCAAGCTGAATCCAGCAATACATTAAAAAGATCATACAACATAATCAAGCAGGATTAATTCCGAGGATGCAAGGATAGCACAATATTTGCAAATCAATAAAGATAATATGTCACATAAACAAAATGAAAGACAAAAATCACATAATCATATCTATAGATGCAGAGAATGCATTTGATGAAATCCAGCACCCATTTATGATAAAAGCACTCAGCAAAGTGAGAATAGAGAGAACCTACCTCAACATAATAAAAGCCATATATGAAAACCTGCTGTCAACATCATACTCAATGGGCAAAAACTAAAAGCTTTTCCCTTAAGATCAGGAACAGGACAAAGGTGTCCACCTTCACCGCCCTTATTCAACATAGTCTTAGAAGTCAGAGTGCGACTTGATAGTAGCAGAGCTGGGACCTTCAGTGCCGTGCTGCTGCTGCTGGTGTTGCTGCTGCTGGTGTTGCTGCTGCTGAGGGTGCTGCTGTGACTCCTGAGCTGGGATAGTTTCCAATCTCCCACACCGCGTGGTCCTGGAAGGGTGGAGAGGGGTGGAGGTGTGGCCAGCCTAGCTCACAACCTCAGTATGTCCAGCCGCAGCAGCTCCACAAGCGCAGGGTATGAGCTTGTGTCCTGCACCCATACCACGTGGCTCTTGATGCAAAATTTAAATGGTGTAGATACAAATAAAACATCAGATATAGAGAAGACTTGTGTGGGGGAGTGCGTGATTGGATTTGGGGAGAAGACTAAAATATAAAGTTCGATACCCTGGTGCTAGTCCTGACTACTTGTATTTGATGGTTTAACACTGGTTAAGTGATGGACACATTGGATTTAATTTATGTACTAGGTCACATCTAAATTCCTCTTTAGCCTTCAGATTCAGCAGTGAAATATTGATGCATTATTGCTTTGACTTACAAAAGCTTTAACATAGAAGCAGTCCACTCTCATTCTTTATCATAAGGTGTTATTTCTTGGCATTTCACTCGTGCTCAAATCTAATGTTAACATGATTTATTATTTTCATGACAGATGTATTTATAATTCATTAGTCAATCAGCTTTAAAACTTAAATGTTCTCAACTCAATGTGTGTTATTTATTATATATGCTAAATTTCAATTATTCGACTCAAAAGGTAATGTTTAACACAAATAATCCATTCTGATTCATCTCTTACAATTTAAGGAACACTGTATAGTGTGAAAGAATGCAAGATTCTTGCTTCCGTCCTAATAAAGCATTTAGACAAAGTTTATTTTGTTTGAGCACATGCTGAGTGATTTGGCCTGTAGAGAAAGCAGTTCAGAAGAACCTCAGAAGAGGATAATGTCTGTTGACAATAACTAAAGCTGGCCTCCATGGAAATGCTAATTTGGTAGCGGCCTCTGTCCATCAGCTGCCTTGAGTTATTGTTCCAGCCCGCTAAACGGAATGCTCCTTGATGGCTGACGGAAACCCCCACTGCAGTAATTAGACTGTTTGAAAGAAGAAGAAAAAATTGTTAACAAAGACTAAAGGGAACAGGCCCGAGCAGGAAAAATTTAATAAATAGTTTAAAGTGATTTGAACAAAGGAAGGGTTCAGAAAATGTTTGATGGTCTCATTTTTATTAAAAAAAAAAAAAAAAAAGGAGGTACATACGTTGAGCAATTCAGCCTATCATTTGATGCATATTAAATGGATTCATCCTGGTTGTATATGTACCATAGTTACAAAATTAAATGACAATTGCATATAGATTGAAATCATATGCATTTTAATATAGTAAGAGTGTGGGGCATTAAAGTTTTACTTCTCTTATGCTAGAAAAACATCTGTAGAAGTGGGCTTGTCAGTGGAATACAAATATATCCTAATTATTTTTGACTGAACTAATTAAGGAATACAGCTTTCATATCAGGAGAAACTTTTAGAAGATGACAGTTAAATAATGTTAAAAAACAAAAACATACCTAAAATACTAAAAAAAAAACAACATACCCCAAACTTTCTAATTCAATGACTTCAGGAGCATATAAAATTGATTTGCAGCTCATAAACCATTTCTGAACCCTTTAAGAAGTAGAATAGGTTGGCCTATTTTCAATGTCAAACATGATTTTAAAAACAAAGAAAAATTAATTAAAAAATTCTTGAGTAGCAATGTTAATGTGATAAAATAGATTATTTGGAAATATTTCAAATTCATGAAGTTTGATGTAGGATTCCTCAAATCTAGTACTATTATTGAGGACTTAAACTTTGTGAAGCTGATAAATTTACTATTTGTAAATATATATATATATTTTTTTTCTATAATTTGCCTTACTGTGGTATAATTGGCTGTACATTGTTAATGTGCATAATTTAAGTTTGATGTTTGTATACACCTATAAAACCATGAGCATGAACAAATAGCGTATTCCTTACTCCCAAAGTTTCCACATGCCTATTTGTAACTCCTCTTTCTGCAAGGTTCTCATGCCCCTCTTCTCAAACACCTGACATAATTTCTGTCACAATAGATTAATTTGCAATCCCTAGTAGTTTATTAACTTAAATAACACATATGTACTCTTTTTTGTGGGAGAGAGTCTGGATTAATAATTTTGAGTTTCATCTAAGATGCATGTATATCACAGTTTATATCTTTTTATATCTAGGTAGCATTCTATTTTATGGATATATCATATTTTATTTACTTATTTATCCTTTGAAGGACTAATGCCAATTGTGGATTTATAGGGATTAATTTCAGTTGTTGGATATTACAAATAAAGCTACTGTGGGTATTCTTATACAGGTTTATATGAATATATGCTGCCATTTTTTAAAAATAAAAATCTATGGATAAAATGGCTGTATTAAATGGTAAGTACATATTTATCTTTTTACAAAAATGTAAAGCTTTACCAAAATATTTATAACATTTAATATTCCCAAAAGAAATGTATAAGAGTTCTAATTTCTTCATGTGTTCACCAGTACTTAGTGTGGCCAGTCCTTTCAATTTTAACTATTATAACAGATGTGTCCGATTTCTCTAATGACTAATAGTGTTGTGTATATTTTCATGAACTTATTTTCCATATATCCATCTATTTTCATGTCTATTTAAATTATTTGTCCACTTAAAAAATATATTTTGTTTTTAATAAGTTTTGATACTTCTTTATATGTTCTAAACACGAGTTTTTAGTTAGAGAGGATATTTTATTTATTTGGGTTTTTTTAGAGATTTTATTTATTTATTTTTAGAGAGAGAGGAACGGAGAGAGAAAGAGAGAGAGAGAAACATTGATGTGTGAGAGAAACATGAATTGGTTGCCTCTTGCATGCTCCCTACCCAGGACCTGGCCTGCAACCCAGGCATGTGCCCTGACCAACAATCTAACCAGTGACCTTCTGGTTTGAGGGAATGACACCCAACTCCCTGAGTCACACCAGTGACATCTATTTACTTATTTTTAAATATTATCTCCTAGCCTGTGGCTTTCCTTTTCATGCTCCAAAAGAGTGTCTTTTAAGAGAATTCATTTTTGAATTTCAACTTAAAATGTTCTTTTTAAATTTTTAAAAAAACAACTATTTTTGAATGGGTATATAATTGTGTGCTGACATTTTTTCAATACCTCAAAGATATTGTTTCACTCTATTTTCCTTTACAGTGTTCCCAATAAAAATTCTGTTTTAAACCTTCCCATTTTTTCTTTGTACACAAGGAATTTTGTATTCTGGTAGCTTTTTTATGACTGAATATTTTGAAATTATTGTAGATTTATATGTTATTGTAAGAAATTATATAAAAATAGCTCACTTACCTTGTATTATTTCCCCTAATGATGACAACTTACAAGCCTGTAAGACGTTAACCCATTAAGGATATTTACATTGGTTTATTTCACTGATCTTGTTCAGATTTTTCCCAGGTTAGTTCATTTCCTTTTTCAATTTTCTCTTTTCAGCTGTTTTTGTAACTGTGACTTGTAGTTTTTTAATCACTTTGGTGCTTGTTTTTATTGTTGTTTGTTTGTTTGTTTTTTGAGTTCCATGGATCTATGTGTTTAAGTTTTCTACAACTTTGGAGAATTTTTGGCCATACTTTCCTCAAATGTATTTTTCTCTTATGTCTTCCTTTCTTCCTTTTGACGGTTCCAATTACACATATGGTTGGTTTCTTGTTATTGTTTCATGGCTAGTTAATTCTTTGTTCGTTTTATTATTCTTTTTATTTTGTTATTTGATTTTGAATATTTTTCATTGCTATGTATTCAAGTTCAATTATCTTTTGTTTTGTAATGCCTAGTCTGCTTTCAATATGTTCCAGTGTATCTTTCACCTTAGATCTTATGATTTTTTATCTCTGGGATTTGTAGATCAGGCTCTTTCATTTCTTCTGACTCTATTTTTCAATATATAAAATATAGGTAAAAATAACCATTCAAAAATCTGTGCCTCCTAATTCTAACACCTATGTCATTTTGGGTTTAGTTTTAATTGATGAAATTTCATTTTTCTTATTATTGGTTACAAGCTTCTTCTTTGTACTTTGAATGCCTGCTGAGCTCTTACTGGATGCTAGATATTGTGAAATTTACCATGTTGGGAGATGAGTATTTTGTTTTCTTAGGGCTATTCCTGAACATTCCTTTGTGAAACAGCTAGTTACTTAAAAAATAGCTTTATCTTCTGAAGTCTTAGGTGGGGCCAGAACATGTGCTCAGTCCAGTTTCCCTGTTCTCTACCTCCGAGGCAGAGCCCTCCAGTAGCCTCTTCACCAGCGAAATATGAAGTTTTCATTCTAAATGTTGGGCATAAACACTATCCTGGCACCGGCACTATTATCTCTAACTTGAAAGGGTGGTTCTTCCCCTGCCCCCATGCCTATGTTGATGAATGCTCATGCAAACACGTGAGAGGGCGTACCTGTAGATCTCTAGACTTCACACTGCGGGTGTGTCTCTTCACTCTCTCCAGTATTCTGAGCATAGAGTTCCTTCCCAGGACACTTGACTTTGCTTCTTTATCGCATAGAGTCTACAGGTCCTGCCTGAATTCTCTTTTTCTACGCTAGCGCCTGAAAACTCTTAAGTTTGAACAGTAATGAAAACAGTGTTCACTTCGTTTGGTTTTTACCACTCAGACAGCATTATCTGTCATTGTCTTGTTTGATATTTTGAAATTGGGGACAAAACAAAAAAAAAGTGTATATGTTCCTCTAGAGTCAAGCTGAGATTTAGGTTACCAATCTGTTAACTAATTATCAGGGCTTTAATTCTGAGTTATATGACTCAGGTCTTCTAGATACTGAAGATATTCTGGTGAGTGCAAACGTAACCTAGTTCATACCATCAGGTCAAGCATCCTATCGCTCTTTGTATTCTGTAGAAACTCTTAGTTCTAGGAAAATAATTTGTGAATGTTTTCAACTGTTTCACATTTCCATCATTATTACTAGCTTCTGAAAGTTTGTGATTATAAGAACTAAAAAACAACTGCTCTCTGTCTATGTTAACTAAGATTATCAGAAATACAGGCATTAGCAT